GTACGTGAGGGCCAAATGATCTGCATCAGGGCCACTACTACATTAATGCGCAATCAATCACGATACCCTTGAACGCGTTTTCTTGAATAGCGGCACATATGTCTTCTCCTTCGTTCAAGTCACATTCACACTATCGCTATCGAAGATGAAGTCTCCATCTTCTCCAACGCACGGTCCCAGTACCTTTGCCCAGTCTTCAATTGTTCAAATTGCTGGATTTTCTTGGAGTTCCTCAAATTCCGACTCGCGATCGTCGTGCCACTCTTGCATCATTGCCGCGCAAATCCAGTTCCATCTCCACATCTGGAGATTGAGCTTGGCAGCGATCAACTCGTTGCGATAAGCTCTCAATCTGATTTCTGGCACCTTCAACGTCGATAATTGAATTCTCGAAGTTCGTCCCATCATTTCTTCCTCAATTTCTCACTCACGGACCTTGTTGAGCTCTCAATTTGCGAATTTACTCTCGTGGAATGTCAAGGCTGAGCTCGCATTCCACCTGGTGTAATTTTTCCCCCCTAACGACATCGAAGACTCGTGCAAATTGAAGGTACAAGTGTTTGAAAATCTTTCTCGTTTGACGTCGTCTTTTACTTCACCAAAGATCCTTTGCCGAAGACTCTTTGTACATAAATCCAAAGGCACTAACGCCGAAGTCCGAAGATTCTTCGCCAAAGCCAATATCATGCCTTCGTTGAAGCGGGTACCTCGCTGCATACCTTCACAGCTCTGGATTTCCTTGTTCATGTCTAACGCTCTTGGTCTTATTGGAACGAGCACGACGAGGTCTGCCCATTGAGATCCTATCTATCCCCTACTCCTACTCAATGTCTACTCCAAAATTCCATATTAACTCTTCTTCTCACTACTCCGGTTCAAAAAGTTTGAAATTGATAGTACTTACTTCTCAAACTTCATTGTTTTTGAAAAAATGAAAAAACTATGCTACCACAAAGAATCATGGTGACATGTTTCCATTGTTGTTCAGAAATAGAATGAGGCTGTAATAAACCGGCTGATTTTTTATCATTTGCCTTGTTTTGTTCACAAACAACACATCTTTGAAAGTAAACCTCCACGTCCTCTTGTAGTTTGGGCCAAAAGTTAACTCGTTGGATGCTTTCCAAAATCTTCTCCACCTTCACATGACTAGCAATGGCTCTATCATGATTTTATGATTCAATCATTGTGTGTACCTCTTGATCTTGCGGAATCCATATACGTTGTTTGTAGAACGCCAAACCTCTAGACTTCTTTGTACTTCCAGCTTGTAATGCCCTCATGATCTCTTCATGCTCCTTTGTGACCTGTGTCATCTTGCTTCATCTTGCTTGAATCTTCACTTCTGCAACATGATACAAACAAGTCATGTGTGTGAGAGCATCCGCAAGTTGCTTCTTGTACTCCACGTACACTATCGTCATGTAGAAGCGTTTACATCACTCTACCCATCGAATTTGTCGTTTAGACATATCTTTGTGAGTTTCCAAATAAACCAAGAGTTTATGATCGGTCTCCACCACAAACCCTTATCACCCAAGTAATACTTCAAGTGTTTGATTGCCTACACAATCGCTAACTCTTCTCGTTCTACCGTGTGATAATTTTGTTCCGCCATCACCAACTTTCAAGATTAAAAAGCAAGTGGATGCCATTTATACTTCAATTTTTGTTGAAGTATGCCACCTAATGTTGTAATTGATGCGTCAGTAGCCAACTTGATAGGAGTATTAAGATCAAACTACTTGAGGATAGGTGCGTGTAACAAAGCATCTTTCAAGGCTTGAAAAACTAACTCTTAAGTTGTTTTCATCTCCATTTTTTATCTTTCCTTAACATGGAAGTCAAGGCCTGAGCTAGGCGAGCAAAACCTTTCACAAGTCTATGATAAAATCCATCGAGCCAAGAAAACTCTTAAACTAAGTTTGATACTCATGTTCTGTCCATTTCTAAATGACATCTATCTTGTCACTCATCACTTGGATTCTTGCGGATGTAACTCTATGATCCAAGTAAACTACTTCTGATTTGCCAAATTGACATTTTGAAGCCTTGACATACAATTGATTGTAACTCAAAACTTGAAGTACTTATCATAAATAACCTATATGATCACTCAAAGTTTTGATATATATCATCTAAAAAAACAATGACAGATTTATCTAGATAAAGGCGAAAGATATCATTCATCAATCTCATAAATGTAGCTGGTGCATTAATGAGATCAAAAGGCTTTAGTAGATACTCAAAGTAACCATACCTAGTACGAAAAGCTATTTTCTGGACATCTTCATCTACAATTTGAATTTGATTGTAGCTGCTTCTCAAATCTAGCTTGGTGAAATACTTTGCCCCCTGAAGTTGATCAAACAAATCATCCATACAAGGTAATGGTTAATTTTTTTTCACCGTTTGTTGATTCAACCCCAAGAAGTTGATGCATAGTGTCATGGATCCATACTACTTATTCACAAAGACCACTAGAACTCCATAAGGTGAAACACTTGGTTGAATCAATCTCTAGCTCAATATCTCCTCCATTTGAGCTTTCCATTCTTCCAATTCGTTTAGAGCCAAACGATATATAGCTTTGCAAGTTGGTGTACTTCCATATATCACATTAATCTTGTGATCTACTCGCCTCTTTGGTGCTAGTCCTGCAATTAGACTATTTTGATAAACATCTTTATTCTCCATAAATATATCGTTCAAGGATTTTGAGATGTAAAGTTTGTCCGTGGACCCAATATCTATTATATGGTAAATGGTAAATAATCAAGCTCGTATAGTTTAATTCTAGTTAACTTTCGTTTAAAGAGGTACCTTGTGTTAAATTTCTTCCTAGAACTTCCCGCTGAGTAATTATGTAAGTTATAAAGTTTATGTTCCCTTTATGATAATAGGTTTTTTGGTTACCTCTGTATATTATTACTATATCCTGTTATGGCTACCACTTAGTTCTAATTAACTCTAGTTTAAAGATGAACCTTGTGTTAGGATTCAGTCTAGAAATTTTTGTGGAGTAATAGCATAGGTTAGAGATGCTACTGAGTTTTCTTAACATGAGTTAAGAGGGAGATTTTTGAGGTTAACTCCGATTAAGGAGTAAACTCTAGACCTGGCTATTTATAATTTAGACGTTGCCTGAACTGTGGGTTAAATACCATGGCTTCTGCTTTGTATATTCAGTCGTTCTCGACAGACCTTGAGTAAAAGATGTATCGATGTTCCTGGTGGACATAGCCCTCTTTTTTCAAGAGGGAACCACGTTACATGTGTCTCTCATGATCGGTTGATGATTCTTAGATTTTACGTCTACATAAATAACTATGAAAATTCAGTCTTTATTTAATCTTGCACTTAATCAAATTGTTCATCTTGGATGAAGATTTTAATTGATTCTTGCATGAATTAGAGTTTAATTGATAATGTTTTTTTTATCAGAATGAGCATTTCATTCACATAGGATATTGAAGTAATGAGATTTAAAGTCTCATTTTTCACATTCTTTTATATGAATATCTATGGAAAATTTTATGCTCTAATGAAGTCATCAAATCTTGGAGCTTGTTTCAATCCATATAATAATTTAACAATCTACAAACCAATTTACCTTAGACTTTCTTCTTAAAATTAACTAGTTGTCATATATATATATATATATACATATATAAACATGCAAATAAGATATATTCTATATATTAAAATATAAAAATGACAAGACGGCTAATGCATTGACTCTATTTTTTTCTTGGAAATTTTTGAGAGCAATTGTGTTATTGTAAATTTTTTACAATGAGCACAATAGAGTTAAGTAACAAAACTTTATTTTTATGTCAATTATAAGTCTCTCTTGACCATGATTAAGTTAGCTTTAGTTTACAAATGTATTTTTGTCTGGTTTTTTATTCTATAACTTTTTGAAAAGTGATCATATTACGTTTAATGTTTAGAGATAATTGAGGAGTGAAATTGATAAAAGTTTACTCAGGTTAGTCTAACCTTGTTTACTTAAACTTTGTAGCCTAATATGAGTTATCAATGACACAACTTTAGGTTTTAATATGTAAAACTTGTTATGTTGTTATGAACCAGAAATTAATGTTGAAATATATATAATCTATGTAATTATATTCAAGATTATTCTTGGAAATATTCTTTTATAGATAATTTGGATATTATATAGTATGCACTATACAACAACAATGATGATGCCATTATGATGCTATGAGGGTTTTGACATTAGTCACCCATTAGGTTTCTACATGTATGGAATATTTTTATCATTTCTATTATACTTCCTGCTCACTCATTTCTTTACTTGACTTTCATAATACTCCATACATTCATTACAACTTTCAGGCAAAGGATTGAAGAGCTTCAATATGATCGACTTTGTGGACGTAATACATCTCTCGATATTCTTGGTACTACCATTTATACATTTGGTAATTGCATACATTTGGACATGTTTCAAGTTGGGGATGCTTTTATTATCCAACTTATTAGATTTTTTAATATTATTTTTATCTTGGTCAATTCACAGTAGAGCCGTTATCATCCATGATCGGTTAGTTCACATTTTTCTCCAGTTTTCTCCTATCAAATTGATCAAATTTCAAGTCTCAAGTATGCAGTTTCAAACCCAGCCTATCCAAGGCTGACCACAACTACCATCATAGTGTTCTATTTGAATTGTTCACTAATTTTGATGGAAGAGAATATATAATTATTTACCTCATCCCTATGATAGTTACAAATCTTACTAAAATCACTTCGATTATCATCACTACATTGCAGCAGACTTGAGCTGATTTTCTGCTTGATGGGTGCATGGGCTGCCTGATGGGTAAGTACATATAAATGGTAGTCTTTCATCGCGTGATGACTGAGCGAAATATGTGAGCGAAGATAACCCTTATACTATGTCTAACATTCTCTCATTCCATTGTTTTCCAGATCTGTACACTTTGGAGGTCTCTCCCAAAGAGAAAATAAAGTTGCCCTGCCCCGAGAAGGGATGGACTTCCGGGCCGGATGGTACTTTGCTGGACAGTGCGCAATGGACATTCACGATGTGAAGGGCCGAGAGTCTTCCAGTCTAGAGTACACGGCCTCATCTTTTCAACGATGAAATGATCGTCTGAGGCTTGAGGCTCCCTTCGTTCGGAGGTGACAGAAATTGATTTCCCACAGGGTATCAAAGACTGGCTGGTGCGGGCTCTGCGAAGATGCTGGACTCGATTGAGACTTAGTTGAGGTAATGTTCAAAGTCTTGCAGGATAGTTGAGGGGCATTCAGGAGTGGAGGTCCAAAAACTGGATGGGGTGTGATTAGGGTTTTGAGGCAGACATCGGGACCCCGCTTGCATATCCTCGAGGTAGGAGTTTGTGCAGAGAAAAGGCTTGATTGATGAATGGTGGAGTGTCGAGAAGAGAGAGGGGCAAGCCAGTGATCTGAGGAGGGCGAAATGACGAGTCAATCGAGGGAAAACGACGAGAAATTGGCATGGTTCCAAGACGTCACAGGGCTGTCGGACTCTTCACTGTCGACGCAGATTTTGGAGGCACACGGATGGAATTTGGACGCTGCGGTGAATTCGTTGGTGGAAGGCGGGAACAACACGAATACTGTCGCCATGGGAAGTACTAGTGGTGGCGCATTGAGTACGGAAGAAGCTCCGGATTTGAGTAGGTGGGATTCAACCGCAGAGCGGATGAACTCAGGGCTGCCATCCACTCGAGACGCTGAATTATATGGAGGCAGTCATGGACGGGGACATCCCGGAGGAGGTCATTACGAGCGCTTTGCTAGTGGTCCAGGGCGGGATAGCATAAACTATGATCGTTTCCGGGACTACGATGATTCATATCGGGGTGGGCGCCTTATACAGCAAAATCCTCAGGGACCAGGGATAGCATGGAGGCTAGTAACCTTGTCATTTTCAATGATTCGAGGAAGTTACAATCTCATGTATGGGGCTGTAGAGTTGGGAATGTGGGTGACTGGAGGGATGATATCATACTCGTTAGGAGCACTTGGCTTAGGCGGAGGAGGAGGAGTAGCGGTGGATAGGAGAAATAGATCCTTGCTGCCTATGCCTACTTCTGGATCTTCTGAGGCCAGCCTTTTTCTGAGAAATTTTGAAATGGAGTATGGTGAGAATCATCCGAACTTTCAGACCATGAGCTTCATGGAAGCCATGAGAAGGGCAGGGCAACATTACAAATTTTTATTCGTGTACTTACATGCGCCAGACCATGCAAACACCCCAGTGTTTTGTGAGAATAGTTTGTGCTCAGCATCCGTGTCGGACTTTATCAACGAACACTTTGTGGCATGGGGTGGAGACGTGCGAACCAGCGAAGGGTTTCAGATGAGCAACAGCTTGAAAGCGTCAACCTTCCCTTTTTGCGCTGTGGTGACAGCGTCTTCCAATCAGCGTATTGCTTTATTACAGCAGGTCCTATACTCTGTTGTGTGCCTGGACAAGAGAGTTTTACCCTTGCTTCTAGTTACATTACCACCTGGGTTGATCGTAATGAGTATTTCAACAGAAACTGTCCTGCTATAGAGGAGACTGGTCTTCTTTGGTGATGCTGTCCTTCTTTTGGGTTGACACTACAAGTTGCTTGTATATCGTTCTGCTTCTACCGTACAGACCGAGATAGATCTCCTTCACTACTTGTAGACAATTGCCGTCATCGATTGTGTTGAGCTTAATTTTAGTAAAATGACTTCGTCTTGTGCACAGTAGGAGTCGTACTCACAGTCTTTTTCTGAGAAGGTTTTTAGCGTCAACCTGAGCAGCTCTTGACCTTCTTTTCTCCAGTTCTTTTCTAGGCTATGGTCTTCTAGTGCCACCCACTCTTTTTACCCTCTTTTGTATTTAGTGAGTGTGCAGCGTACAGTCGCAAATGTCGTAGCGAATGGAGTTGTATCTTTTCGTCCTGTTTTGTTGTCATGCACTTGCCTTCGACATCGTAATTTCCATATAGAATCGAGTGCTTCATGCTCATTTTGTTTAAAACTTGGGTAAGGTTGAAGTGATTCTTTACGTTTCTACCAACTTAAGTTTAAGGCATTTTTCTATCCCAATCAGATGACGCACATGTTTTTGTAAGCCTATACCTGGTGTATCTACCGGCACTTCCGCACTATTGTTCACAGAAATTGTGTGTGAAATCTCTGGAAATCGTTCTTAAGCAAATGCTGAGCCTGCGAGTGCTTGACTGAAGCAGATTGAGGGTCCTAGGACGGCCAGCGAGCTTTTGGCAATCTTGCAGCGGGTGGTGGAAGAGCAGGGCTCAGTGCTTGTTGCTGCCCGTGTTGAGGAGGAAGAACGTCAAGTAAATCGACGTTTACGGGAGGAACAGGATGCCGCCTACCAGGCTGCTCTTCAAGCAGATCAGGTTTGATATTATGTGACCTATTCATGTTTGCCAAAGCTCGTCAAAATTTGGTGTGATATATGTTAAAAACGTAAGGCGTTCATCGCTCAGGTAATCTAGATTCTTGCAGAGACGAAGAGGTCTTTGTGATGTCCGTGCAGCTATCTCGGAATTTTTTTGACTCTGCATGAGTTTATTCATTATGTTCCTGTTAACTACATAACGAAGATTCAAGATCATGGCTTGACTGGCCAATCATTATAGGAATGACTTGTGATTAGAACTGGTAGCAAGTGTTTAACACGTTGCTAAGATGTGGGTGAATTTTGTGCTTGCAATTTTCAGCTTTTGACAAACAATCACTTGTTGGCAGGAAAGAGAACGACGACGTCAGGAAGAAGCCGACCGAGCTGCCCGAGAGGCAGAGGAGGCTGAGATGAAGAAGAAAGAAGAAGAGGAGGCAATAGCTCGGGCTGCTAGAGAAGCTGCCGAGAGAGAATCAGCATTAGAGCGTCGCAGACAGGAAAAAGCCACTTCATTGGGTTTGGAACCAGCGAAGGCCCCTGATGTCACGCAGGTAAATTCACTATCTTGGTCACTTGAGGTTAAACGTACTTCTGCGGCCTTGCCTTGCTATCTTTTCTTCGTGCCCTGGAAGAGATGATACCTGTTTAGCTTTCTTTCTCTCAGGGATCCTTCTATTTCCCATATCCGCAGTGCGTTATGTTCAACAAATTTATCTTCTCTTCTATTTCACGTTGTCTCAGTTCGAAGAGACTGTGATACATCCATCTGCTAGTGATTGATCTTCTCAATTTTTTGATTTTGCAGGTGCTTGTGCGTCTACCTAATGGAGAGCGCAAGGAGAGAAGATTTTATGCTACCGACAGGGTGCGTAAGGTATACGACTACGTTGATTCACTAGGTTCTTTCGACGCTGTTAACTACAGTTTGGTCTCAAACTTTCCGAGAACTGTATACGGTCCAGATAAATTGGACCTTTCGTTCAAGGATGCAGGACTTCATCCACATGCTAGTCTTTTCGTCCAAGTTGAAGATAATTAGAGCACTCATCCATTATCTCAGGCTAGCACCGTATCTCCTTCACTCTCCGTCTGCGATGGGTTGAGACTCACCTTTTCGGCTCTGGAAGTCTGCAATAGCCAAAAAGATATGTATAGTTGTGATGTAGGCTCACGTCTCCCATCATTATCATGAAGCAACCAGAAGAATCTATTCGCCTCATGGATGGCTGTAATATACCATTCATAGTCTTCACTGATAAGTTTGTCCGCAAATTGTTCATAAATTAGTGCGCTGCTGTGATACCTCGACTTGCAGCGCAATAGCCTGACAATTGCTTGCCTGAATAACGAGGGTTTGACTTCTCAGATTTGCCGTAACAGGCATAGTGCTATCAAATTCATTTTCATCTCCCTCGACTGGACTCAATGAGATTCTACACCCAGCCCAGTGACAGATTATTCCCTGCTTGTGTTCTTGTCAGGCGTTATCCTGGATGTAGTTCATTTATTGAAAGTATATCTCTTTGCAGGATTTATCCCCCTTCAAATAGATGTTTCAAATGTTAGAACCAATATCACTGGAAATCTGATGAGAAGAGGACATTCCGCTTCATTTTATGCTCTAGCTGCGTAATCGCCAAGAAATCTTTTGTAAGAATGATTATTGAGACATCTTCTCGGATGTGATGTATGGGTCTTTGCCGACAATATTATGTTAGGCTAGATGTTTGGAAACCTTCGCTTAAGATGTTCAGACAATTAATTTGCCCTCATGAAGCTTGACCGTGATAGTGAGTGTACATATCAAAGGAGACATTTATATTACACTAGTCTGGTTTCTGTGAAAAGTCTCGTTCTCCCTTTGGGGAACTGACAGAACAACACGAGGACGAGTGAAGCGGCTGTTTTCTCAGAAAGAAGGAGATGACGGGTGAGAACATGAGAATGTTTGGCTCTCTAGACTGTTTCTATGCTCGTTGTTTGTGTCTTCTATACTTGCTTGAACTGTACAGTTGATCACCCGCTTTGATCTTTTCTGGTTGAGTTGCATGCTATTGTAACATAGTTGTTGGTAGCAAGGAAGGAAAGAACTATTTCGATTCATATGAGCAACGAAAAATATTCCATGTGACAAGATCAGTCTTCATGTCTTCTGGGAGAAACAGTTTGTCTTAGTTTCCGTAAGCTAATCATTACGATACAACTCAGACCAGGTAATGTTTGACCTTAATTAACGTATATGTGGGTTTGCATCTCGGGTTCTCTCTATGGATAGCCCCTTGATTTGCTCAGCGTCAAAGAGCCATGCCTGAAAGAAGGTTCGATCAGATTTTAGAGTTCTGATAGAGCATTCCATGAAGGAACTAGAACTTCGTCGAACTCGTTCATGAACTCGTGGGTGAAAAACTAACAAGCAGATTTGTCTTCATTTCGTGTTAGGAAAAGGACTTGTTGCTTGGTGGGTCAGTTCTACAGAATAAACAAGAATTGCATAAACAGGAATGTACGCATGCTTGACATGATTTCAGCTTGTGAGATGATTGCATCAGTACTATTTCTGAGACTTTTTATACATCAATCGATATTGTTGTACATATCAAAATACAAGATTTTACTGAAAGTATGCTCGATCATAATTTGTACCATCCCAAGATGTAATGATAAGTAATGTGAACAGTTTTGGACAAGATATTGTTGCTACACAACATTTTTTGTCAACAACCCTAACCAATATCATCAACTTGATCTAGAAGGTAATAAGTGTTATGCACTAACCATCTTATTAGCAGGAGACATCAAGATTGGATAACGCATATAAGAAAATTTGAAATTTTATGTGGTCGAAGTTAAATTGAGTGATGAAACTTAAAATTCTGAAGAAATTAAAGTTTCTTTTGCTATCATCACAACGTTAAGTCTTAGTAAATTGCAGCAAATGAGTGACTCACAGTACCTTGGGATGTATTTGGTGTATTTTGCAAATTACTAAAGTTAGAATCATTTTTGAAGTTAAAATCGCATGATTGTATATATTTGATAAATAAACAAACACTCACAAATGATTTGGTTTTTTGAATATTAATGTATTACTTAATGCGAAATTTGCAAAATTTCAAGATTTTTTTTATTTTGTCATTACCTTAATAATTATTGTATTTAAAAAACTTTGCTTTAAGTTTTCAATTGCAATATTTGAGTTGAAAGGATTTTTGTATGTTATCACACATATCCATGTACAAAGAGTTAATGAGAATTATTCTATAAAAAAATGCAAATAAATCTAGATGCCTATCATACATACAAAATTTACAACCAAAATATGATAGACATGCTTGTAAAATGGATAATCCATCATCATTAGATGCATTACTCATTCAAATTTCATTTTTCCATTCAAAACTTATCTATTTAGATATCTTATCATCATCAACTTGTTCTTGTTGATGTAATGATAGATCTGGTATGATGTGTGATAGAAAATAAAATTGATATGTTTTATAATCATTCTACAGATTCAGTATAGATGGCATTGGTAACAAAACATTACATTTTGAAAACAATAATCATCACAATAGTTTGATACTTGATCAAAAATTGTTATTTTCTGAATCAATAAAAGGTAATGTATTATCAATTACAAAATAATAATATTTCAAGAAGTATCTAACATAGTGTATTTTAAAATATTTGATCACAAAAATTACATCAATACAATTAAAAGAATTGTTGATTAAAAAATTTGATTATAATTGCATAATTTACGGGAAAAAAATCTATATTTCAAAATTGCTCTTCACACAAGCATATACGTAAACTGATAAATGATTGCAAAAAATATTGAGTCACAATAATTTCATCAAAAGTATTCAACACATATGTGCAATTTTTTAATCATTGGTTATAAATGTTTTAATAGAAACATAAAAATAAACATGTTAATATAATTTAAAATGTTGAACAAAATAATTATGTTAAGATAGATTTTTTGAAACAATAAATATGTTTACAGAACAGCAAGATTTAATCTTTTATCAATTTACTGTATCTTTTTACATTATAAATAATACTATAAGAATATTATTTTATTATGAAAATGCAAGCATGTTGTGCAAAATTGCATAGTTATGAAATCATATGTTTGTTCATAATCAGCTGAATTCTTTTCTATCACTGTTGTAAAAATTGACAAGTAAAGTTAATCTTAAATTCTACATAAAAAATGAATTTGTATTCATAATTTTAAGATAATTTTATTGCAATTTTTTATTGATTTATAAGAACTGATTGATAAAAAATTTAGGAATAAAATCATGGGAAAAAAGTATAGTGGAACCTTCGTATAAGGTACATGCCATATAAGGTACACCTCCATATATGGTACGGAATATTTTTTAATCAGCAAACTCCCCATTTTCCTAAGTAAAAACTCTCTATAAAAAGTACACCTCTCTTTAGTACGCAAAGTACACCCCAGACCGGCCGCAGAGTGGCTACGCAGTTCTATATAAGGTACAGTGGAACCTTCGTTTGGGTTACCGCCATCCAAATTGGGTTCTTCAAGATGTGGAACGTGATGCTTGACAAGAAGAAGCGCAAGCTGGTCAATCTGAGCACCAAAGTTGCCATAATCAAATACCTTGCCGATGGACACAGCGTTAGGGAAACAGCTGATAAGTTTTCATTATCCAAAGGAACCGTTCAAGCTGCAAAGCAAAAACAGGAATCTCTGTTACAAGAAGCACAAAGCAATCGCACACTATCAAAGGCCAGAATAGTTCAGCATAGCGACATTAATGTCATTTTATGGAGATGGTTTGCAATAGCGAGAGCTCGTGGGTATCAGATAAGTGGCCCGATTCTACAGGAGAAGGCAAAACAAATCGTAGATTTTCTGGGAGTTGTCAACGAATTCACGGCTTCTGAAGGCTAGCTGCAGAAGTGGAAGCAAAGGAACAATGTTCGGTCGTACAAGGTTTGTGGAGAATCTAGAAATGTAGATCCAGAGGTTGCTGTTCAATGGAAAACGTCATAAACGTCGTTAATTTCTGGATATGATCTCAGGAACGTCTTCAATATGGATGAGATCGGTTTTTTTTTTTCCGAGCCTTGCCAGATTCGACATTGAACCACGTCGCTCAATCATGTAAAGGCGAAAAGCAAGGCAAAGACAAGGTCAAGGTGGCTCTAACTTGCTCTGCTTTGGGAGAGAAGCTGCCTCCATTGATTATCCGAAAGTCCAAGAATCTTCGATCATTCAGGGGCGTTGATATGAGCAAATTCAAGACCAAGTATTCAAATAGTGCAAAGGCGTGGATGACAAATCCATTGTTCAATATCTATTTGAAAGATATGGATGAACTCTTTAAATGTCAAGGCCGCAAGATATTGCTCTTTTTGGATAATGCCCTTGTTCATATTGTTGACGAAGCCACAAAACTCACAAATGTCGAGCTTCGTTTCTTTCCTCCTAATCTGACATCAGTGCTGTAGCCACTTGATGCAGGCATCATTGGCAGCTTGAAAGCTCTTTCACGGAAGTTTGAGGTGCTTACCTTGCTCGATTTGATGGAAAATTCTTCTGTTCATGCATCAGATCTTGCAAAGAAACTAACAATTCTGGATGCGATCAAATTCATAGAAAAATCTTGGGACCTTGTCAAACCTGAAAGTATTCAAAAATGTTTTGTCACAAGCGGTTTCACATCAGCCACAGTTGTACAACAACAAGACATGACAGAGGTTTTGCAACAAGAACAAGAGCTGGTTTCTTGTTGTAGAGGATTGGACTTGACAGTTCTATGATCGTTATTGAGGAGAATTTGCCAAAAAGCGAAATTCAAGAACAGTAGAGCCTCATAAGACAGTTGGTTGAAGAATTTATTGACCCTGCTAGTGACGACGAAGTGAAGGAAATCGCCGTTGTGATTGCAGACAGTGAGCCGGAAAAGCCGAAAGCAATTTCATGTGCACATGCAAAAGAAATGGTTACTGATCTGATTGCCTTTGCAAAAACCAACTCACTCTTCAAAGAAGAGATGGACTTGTTAGACATAAAATCTACAATCCAGTCTTTGTATCTTTCAACTCTTAAGCAATCTTCAATTGATCACTATCTTCAATAACTCAAGTGATTTCATCATTATTTTAAATCAGTGTGTTAGAGGTATTCCATATAAGGTACACCCAAGTCATAAGGTACAAACGTGAAACATTTTGGAGCAAATAGGGTGTACCTTGTACGGAGGTTCCACTATATTAGGAGTCAAAATGTATCAAATAGATGCCACAGATTAACAGCCTAAGTCAAATTAGAGTTTAAAAAAATGAACGAAACAAACTTTTTAATCTTATTAATTCTGATTATCAAAAAGTGTAATTTTATAAATCTATTATAAAAAATAAAATTTATCCCTAGTTCTTTGTACAATCATTTGGATGATGACATATATATCTGTGCACAACAATAAAAAAATTGTCAAATGCTAGATTTCAATAAGTTAAAATAGAAAGACAAAATTGGATACTAAAGGATTGAAATAATCAATAATCAGATTTGCTTCATATTCATTACAAGATAAATGATTGCTATTACATACAGAGAATGTTAATGAATGAGGGTAACCAAGTAGATACTCAATATGTTGCATTTCACTCTAGAAACAATGCAAATGTCTATAACAACAGTAATTATTTGATTTACTTGATCATTTATCTACGAAAGACTTGCAAGCTTTCGCTGAAAAGATGGATCAATCTGATGAAAAAAA